ACAGCACTCTACTGAGGGCAACATAGTGGGACTCTGTCTCAAAAGAAAAAATACTGTGAAAAAGTGAAGGCTCTTCTCAGTCCCTACCAAACCATGCCACAGAAGTAAGCACTATTCTTTTTTTGTATCAATTCAGAGTTTATATTACACAAATATAAAACTCACAAAGCTACCTTATTACAACAAATCAGCTGGTGATTGGTTAGAGTTTATACTTCTTTCAAAACGTAATGCTGTCACACTGTATTTCTATCTTGATATAACACTTTAACTTTTCTTTTTTTTAGAGACAGAGTCTCACTTTGTCACTCTTGGTAGAGTACCATGGTGTCACAGCCCACGACAACCTCCAGCTCTTGGGCTTAGGTGATTCTCTTGCCTCAGCCGCCCAAGTAGCTGGGACTATAAGCGCCCACCACAACACCTGGCTATTATTGCAGTTTGGCCGGGGCCAGGTCCGAACCCGCCACCCTCGGTATATGGGGCTGGTGCCCTACCCACTGAGCCACAGGCACCACCCCAACACTTTAACTTTTCAAATATTTAAATAACACCTCAACTTCCCACAAACCAATATTTGCTGCTGTGAGAAGCCACAGATTAAATCCAGTATAATTGTTATTCATTAAAAACAGCGGAGGGATAGTCTCTCAATACCTACACATTTAAACTTTTTTTTCTCACTTGATAGGTCTCTGCATAGTCTCTGGAGTATCTCAGAATCATAGAATCATCAATTCTAGAGTTAAAAAGCCTTAAAAACAGGCTGTTTTTAAGTTTAGCTGATGACTATATTTTCCAAGTGTCTTCACAGTCATGTATAGGCCTAAGATGGTCTGCCACTTACTAGCTAGTAAAGTACTTCTCTAAGTCCTCTCATCTATAAATCTGGGTAATAATACCGACCTCCAGAGTTGTGACTATTTAAGAAAATAACGTATGTATGGCAGAAACTAAGCACTCGATTAACAGTAACACTACTCTTTTGAAAATCTTGGTAAAAACACAATATAAAATTTACCATCGTCACCATTTTAAAGTGTACAGCTCAGTGGTGTTAAGTATATTCACACTGTTGTGCAACAGATTTCCGAAACTTTTTCATCTGGAAAACTAAAACTGCTCCCGTTTCTCCCTCTCCTCTCCCCCTGTTCTACTTTCTATTTCTATAAATCTGACTACTTGAGATACCTTATGTCAGCAGCATGATACAGTATTTGTTAGCCCTTGTTTTATACATAGAAATGAAGGTATGCAATTTATAAAAGATCTCATTAGCAGAGCCAAGACAGATGTGCATTTTCTAATTCCTAAAGGATTCTGTGACTCAACTGAGGTTATTTTGTAGTTTCAGTTGAGCTATGAAAGCCTTCTGATAGCCAGAATTTTCTAAGTACTCCTTATGTCTTCCATACACTAAAGTACTATTTTAACCACAAAGCTTTTAAAAGACCTGGAAATCACAATTTATGGGTTTAAATATCCCTGGTTCCTTTACTGCTAATTTATAGAAACTCCAATGTTGTCAATATTAAACAGAACCAGATCTGATAGGAGCAACAGTCAAACTAAAACAAAGTATAATCTCTAGGTCAAAAAGAATAAGCCAGCTACAGTTACCAGCTCACAATGCCTGGATCCTGGGAGGGATGTCAACCCCCTTAAGGGTTTAGAAAGGCACATGTGGTCTGGGAAACAAATGAACTTCAAAACAGATGTAGAGATCATGCAGCCACGTGTAGTGCAGACATCTACACATCCCTCACCAGTGGCTATTCACTAGAAATACCTCCCACTATAGACATTATTGTTTCAATTTACTTTTCACAGGGATTTATCCCTAAATGTTCCAAGGAGCACTACCCAGGCAATTTAGGCTAAAATACAGTAAACCTATGTCATAGAAACATATATTAAATCTGCAATGTACAGACCTAAACATTCTCATCACTTCAGACTGAGGTTGGAGCACAGCAGAGAATGGGGGAAGGGAGATGCAGTGAGGGCTGGGGGATAGAAAAGGGGATCTGGTCAATGTTCTATCAACTAAGCCAACTGAAAGTTATAGTTTAATGGAAAGCCAACGTGATCATAAAACAAAAACAAAACAAAACAAAAATGTAAAACAGGTCATCCGGAGAACATCACCAAACATCTCAAACATCCTGTTCTTAATTGGCAATAAATGTCTTGATCTGGCCTATTTGAGCAGTGGCAACTTACTAAAAAACAATCCGATACAATTTAGAGTATAATAAGCAGAACTCCATCTAAATGAAATGGAAAACAAAAAAACCAAACAAACAAAGACCTAGCCAGGAACACAAATGGTATTTCATTTTATAGAGGAATAAATTTTCATTCTAGGAAGTTTAATAAGTTCAGTGCGCTCACATTAATGACTCAGGAGACAGATACTACTGCTCCGAAACATGCACATACAAAAACATAAATTAAAAATAAGACTTCATGTGTGGAACAAAATGATCACCCTGAATGGACTTGAGATACTTGAGAATGAGAATAGCTGTTATTCTGTCACTTTTCAGAGTCCTGCAAAATGCTAAATACCATATTTATGCTGAAAAATATGAAATGCTAAGAAAATTTTATCAGACTAAATCAAAACAGGATATTCAATAAAGGAGATGCCTTTTCATGATTAATTAAATGTATATGCTGAATTTGGCAGCCTATCACTAGGACTCCACTGCCCTAACACAGTATGGCAGGAAGATTTTGTGGTTCTCAATCTAGGGAAAATACATGTACAAAACTACAAAGAAATTTCCCACAATCTCTCTTTCTCAGATGCCTGCTCCCAGCCACTTTTTTCAAAAACAGACAAGAAGTGGAACAGGAGGGCTCAATTTTCATTGTATTTTCTGAACTATTATCTCAAGATGGAAGGGACACCCAAAGGCAGCAAGGAAGGCAGAAGAGAAGACGACAAGGTCTCTCCATGCCACTGCCCAGGGCACAGCAGGGACAGGAGCCAGGGGAACTGCAGGCGTGTGCTATCTCCTGCTCCTCTGGTACATTCTAGTGGTTTTTTTCATGGATCCACCATCTCTTTTCCTTACATTTCTCAGGCAATAGTGTGTTCTACCATGAAACAGAGGCATTACTTCTTACATGGAAACAAACTATCTAGTCTTCAGTTTTCCAGAGAAGATATAATGTCCATCCACTCCCCAGGATGGCAAAGCAGAGGAGAAACAGTTTCGCTATCTGTAAAGGATACTGTGACATGACACTCAATCATCCTCAACTGTCTTGGCCTAAGGCCAGTTCACACCCTCGTCCCACAGAAGCCAAATCACAAGGACTAGTAGACACAGTGGTATAAAGGCTCAGCTCTCCCATCCTGGCACAGGTCTCCCATTTCTACATCTGCAGGCACAGCAGAGGGTTCTCCAGAGACTGCATTGCAGCTGAACTTTCCTCCCCCCGCAAAGTTTCCCCTCCACAGCTGTCCTTCCCCAAAGCACTCCTTGAACACTAATCTCCATCTCAAAGTCAAGTTTCCTGAGAGCCCAACCTGTGACATCATCTCTCAAGCCCCTCACTCTCCTTTCCAGGAGAACTCATCTAGGTGGTCAATCTGGGAGAGGAGACTAAAAACCCCAGTCCCATCCATTCCCTTTCTCTGTCTCTCTGACCTGACCTGCCAGGATGTGTCCCAGCCTGCTGCTGCACCTCACTTACCCAGGCAGGCTTGCTCCCAGCCAGGGAGATGAATCCCCCATGCCTGGAGGATTCCTCTATCAAATCCAGAGGGACTCAACTAAACCAGACACATCACCTACAGTCTTGAATCTGTTTTAGGAGTAAAGGAACTGACATCCTGAGCTCCAACTGCCTACCTCTGAGTGCCTTATTTCTCAAATGGTTTCTAACACATAAGATAGTTATTAATAGTTCTCTGAAACCTCAACATTATTCTTGACTCTTCTACTTCCCTCTCCCTAATATCTAAACAGTGCTAAGTACTGCCCTCCTGTACCCTTGAATGTATTTTTAACACTGAAGCCATCATCTGACTGCTAAGTGTCCCCAACCCCTGTTTCAAACCCCTTCAATTAAAGCCTTGCCTTCCAGGTTAAGTGAATTCATTAGTATGAGCCATGTTGCTGTCACAATCTGTCCCTCCCTAAACTTTCCTGAATACATAGCATTTGATGAACAGGACAGCTCATTCTTATTACCATTAGCAGGAAAACCTTTTCTAACCTCTCTCTCCAACCACCTCAAATTACTTTGAGTTCGCTTAGTAGCATGCAGGCTCTGGGCCTCTGCTTACCTGGGCCTTTGTACTTCCCACTGCAAACTCACCTGTCTGCCTCTGCAGCCCACTGACCAGCCCTACAACACCCTGCTCTCCCACAACAAAGTGCTTCTCCCATCTCTCCGGGCTACCACAGAGTTTTCTGTATACTATCTACTCCTTCACTGGCAATGAAATTACTAGATCCTGCAAGGCATGGCCTTTATATCCCCCAACGCAGCATGCTGCACTTATGGATACACTCAGGATGCACTTATGGAATAAAAGAAGGAAGGAGGATTAAGAAAAAACTGGAAAACAGCAAAAGAGGACACAGGGAGGCATGCTGAGCATGGCAGACATTCCCCCAGTGTCACAGTGAAACACTTTGGCAGCTCCTTTGATTGCCCTATAATACTAATCTATAAACAAACTCACAAGTTAATGTCATAGCCTCAGAGCCCATAGCACAGTGGTTATGACGCTGGCCACATACACCAAGGCTGGCAGGTTCGAACTCAATCTGGGCCTGCTAAACAACAATGACAACTTCAACAAAAGAATAGCCAAGCGTTGTGGTGGGTGGCTGTGGTCCCAGCTGCTTGGGAGGCTGAGGCAAGAAAATCGCTTGAGCCCAGGAGTTTGAGGTTGCTGTGAGCCATGACACCATGGCACTCTACCAAGGGCAACATAGTGAGACTATGTCTCAAAAAAAAAAAAGAAAAACAAAACAGTGCTTGCTTTGGCAGCACATATACTAAAATTGGAATGATACGGAGAAGATTAGCGTGGCCCCTGCACAAAGATGACATGCAAATTCATGAAGGATTCCATATTTTTTTGGAATATTATGCAGTCTTAAAGAAAGATAGAGACTTTACCTCTTACATGTTTACATGGATGGAGCTGGAACATATTCTTCTTAGCAAAGTATCTCAAGAACGGAAGAAAAAGCATCCAATGTACTCAGCCCTACCAATTTATAGCTTTCTTATGAAAGCTATAACCCAATTATAGCTATAACCCAATTATAGCCCAAGAAGAAGGGGAAAGGGGAGAGGGAGGGAGGGGGGTAAGAGGGAGGACGGGTGGAGGGAGGGTATGGTGGGACTACACCTATGGTGCATCTTACAAGGGTACATGTGAAATTTACTAGGTACAGAATATAAATGTCTTAACACAATACCTAAGAAAATGTCATGAAGGCTATGTTAACCAGTTTGATGAAAATATTTCAAATTGTATATAAAACCAGCACATTGTACCCCATAATTGCATTAATGTACACAGTTATGATTTAATAAAAAAAGAAAAAAGTGAATGTCATAATTCTCCTAAATTTGTCCCAAACTATTTTTCTAATCTTAATTTCTACTTCTCCCCATAAATACTTTGTTCTCCAGCCTAACCTGAGTAACTGAGTACTCCCTTTTTCTCAGTTATGCCCACCCTTCTGTCTATTCAATCTCTTCTTTTCATATGGAACTCCCCACCCTATGCCACCATATTTTACCACTAAAATTCTATTCATCTCTTTACTGGTTCATCAAATAACTATTGAATGTTTACTATGTGTCAGGCCCTTGCATCAGCTATAGACAAAGGTCTCTGCTCTCACAGAACATGTCACTAGTTGGGAAGTAATGAGAAAAAAAAAAACATCAGGGATTGATCAGCACTAGGAAGAAGATTGTATCAAAGCACAGAGGACAAGTGTCTGAGACAGGATGACAAGGGGGGCCTCTATGAGGGGGTGAAATTTGAGCAGTGGCCTGAGAGGGGTGCCCAAAGGAGCCTTGTAGCCTCTAGAGCCAGCTATGGAAGCACATGATAAGCCCTAAGGAGGCAGCTGCTGGGTGCGCATGGGAACAGCAAGCTGGCCCCTACAGCTGGGCAGAAGGGAGAGACAAGAGACCAGCAAGACCCCACGGAGCCAGGTCATGGAGTGCCTGGTGAGCTACGCACAGACTTTCCATTTCATTGTGAGTGAGATAGGAAACTACTGCAGGCTTTGAACAGAGATTTTTTATTTTTTTTAAATACTTCCCGGGATGGGTGTGGTGGCTCATACCTGTAATCCTAGCACTGTGGGAGGCCGAGGCGGGTGGATTGCTGGAGCTCAGGAGTTCAAGACCAACCTGAGCAAGAGTGAGACCCTGCCTCTACTAAAAATGAAAAACTGAGGCAAGAAGATCACTTGAGCCCAAGAGTCTGAGACTGCTGTGAGTTACAATGCCTCAGTACTCTGCTGAGTGTGAAAAAGTGAGACTCCGTCTTTTAAAAAAAAAAAAAAAAAACCTTCCCAACTACAACTTGGACTTTACCTAACACATGCAAACAATATACCCTAATTGTCTGTATCCTCATACTAAATTTAAATTAAAAAAAATATATCTCTTCTGGCTGAAACTATAGGAAACTAAGGGTGGCCACAGGAAGACAGATAGGGACCCTGCAGTGGACCTGGGAAGGGTGCTGGTGTTGTAAATGGAAGTAGGTAGAGGCAGTAAAGCTAGTGAGAAGGGTCAGATTCTGGATACGTGCCACACACAGAATCAACAGGTTGGATGTGAGATGTAAGAGGAAAAGAGCAGCTAAGGATAACTCCAGGGTTTGGGACCTGAGACACAGAAAGGATGATGCTGCTTCTAATCAAGTTAGAGAAGCCTGTGGGAGGAACAAGTTTTGGGGGAAAGATGAGGAATTCATCTTGGACATGTTTAAGATGCCAAGGGACATCCAAGTGGAGACCTCAGAAAGCAGTTAGAGGCATGGAGCTCAGGTTGAGAGGTTCAAATTTTAAGCTTAGGACTCGGCAGCGCATGCGCACAGAAACACAGATGCTCACTGACTTACTAATTTGTACTTCTTTGATACCTCATTCCATATTTGATTTTTTAACAGATTCACCTCAAAACATAAGATTCTAGGGAGTCTACATTTTAGGAAAAAGAAAAGGGAAAAAATTATGAATTTTTAAAACTTAATTGGTTTTATCCACTCAATAGCTTTTTATTTTGTGCCTGCTATAAGCTCAAAATATACTGCTGAACAAAAAGACATGACCCAATTCTATGGAACTTAATGTCTAGTAAACTGACAAATACTGCTTAAATGGTTGCTTAATTACTTAAGTAAAAAAATGTTTTTAAGTGTTTAATTCAGAAATCAATGCAGGTATTTTTTTCAAGGCCAGTGAAAAGATTCAACCCTGTGCTCTGCCCAGCAGTTGGAGGCTAGTGAAAGAGATCTGTCCAATGAGCCAGGGTTGCCTCCAGTGTAGTTCAGCTGCAGGGCAATCACACATGTCACCCAGCATGAAGTCTAACTGCTTTCATTCAAGTGAGTGGTTTCACTGGGTCACGGCTGGTTTCATGGGTGAGAAATCTTTGGAAGCAATACCTTGTTTACTACATTACATCTGGCCCACAGCGTCTAGTGCAAAATTACTTAACCTTATCAGAAGAATTTTATTTCGTAACTTCACTCCATTTTAATAGTGTGATCTTTTTTGTTTTTTGCTCGTTTGTTTGTTTGTTTTTGAGACAGAGTCTCAAGCTGTTGCCCTGGGTAGAGTGCCATGGCATCTCACAGCTCACAGCAACCTTAAACTCTTGGGCTTAAGTGATTCTCTTGCCTCAGCCTTCCAAGTAGCTGGGACTACAGGTGTCTGCTACAACACCCGGCTATTTTTTGTTGTTGTTGCAGTTGTCACTGTTGTTTTAGCTGGCCAGGTACTAACCCACCAGCCTCAGTGTATGTGACCAGCACCCTACCCACTGAACTACAGTCACCACCTAATAGTGTGACTTTTATTACATCCAATAGTGTGACTTTTATTATATCCAATAGTGTGACTCTTATTACACCCAATTTTAAGTCTAAATTCTGCGAGTCATACCAAAAACTATTTTAGGAACATTATTTTTTCCTTGTAATTTATTTTTCTGAGATGGCCTATATACGATATTAGCAGAAAGTAAAAATCATAAAATATCTAAGCCATGTTAGTTTTTTGGGAAGTTCAAAAAAAACAATGAAAGTTCTAAATTAACTTAAAGAGGAATTTTCATGGACTGCAAATCAAAGAAAGAGATATTTTAAAGGGGAATGTATACATCAGACCTTTATTATTTTGTAAGCTTTAAGAAGGACTAAAGGTGTTCCTTGCAGGCTAGTCTCTCTTTTGGTATGATCTTGTGGTGATATTCAATTATTGGGTTTATGTCATTTCAGTCTGCCACCAGGCAAATGAACAAGAGGTGATAAACTTATATTATGAATTCATTTCAGGATTGTGCAAAAGAATAAAATAGACTGGGGCTAGGGAGAAAGACACCTTCTTACTATACGTATCTCCCACAATGAGTGGCAGTGGAAAAAAACAAGTATGAATCAGTATAAATTAAGGCAACTTTTAAGAAACTATAAGTATTTTGTTCAAGTCACTATTTATCCATAATAACCCTTGGATAAATAAGACTTTTTTCCCTGTAATTGTGTCATGTATCCCTGAATTTCAAAACCTTTAAAAAGAATAGTTTATTATGCCCCCGAACAAAAATGTCATCTCAGGATGCTGTGAAGTAACAAAACCCTGAAACAAACTGGCTCAAACAGAAAAGGGAATATATTAGAACATTTAAATCCAAGAGAAGCTTTATCTAAAATAAAGTTCAAAATATGTGAATATGACCCGTTTTCTCTTTTTTTTCTCAGGACTAACTTCATTCCCAGGAAGGCTCTAATCTCATGGTCCCATGATAACTTATGGGACTATGTGCTACTCAAATCATGTTCATCAGGAAAGATGCAATTCACTCCCAATCAGGCAAACAAAAGCTATAGGCCTGAATCTCATGGCCTTCACTCATACGCTCATCATGACCAACCACTGTGGCTGGAGGAATGGAGAGGTTGTATTGCATAAGACAGGTGGACTCATCCCGAGAACTCTCACCCAAAATGAATAATGCACAGCTCAGAAATTCAGAGTACTATTAAGAAACAGAGGGCCCACCACGGTGGCTCAGACCTGTAACCCCAGTACACTAGGAGAACAAGGCAGGTGCATCGCTTAAGCAAGACCCTGCCTCTAAAAAAAAATATTCAGGCGTTGTGGCAGGTGCCTGTCTTCCTAGCTACACAGAAGGCTGAGGCAACAGAATCACTTGTGCCCAGGAGTCTGAGGTTGCTGTGAGCTATGATGCCACAGCACTCTACTGGGGGGTGACAAAGTGAGATTCTGTCTCAGGAAAAAAAAATGCTGGAAAAGCAATTAAATATCCACTACATGTGTGAAAACAAAAATCCGCTTACCAATTAATCTAATTAACCTTGAGGTTTTTGGAAAATCAAGCAAACAGATATAGGTAGGAAAAATATATTGGTATTATTTGTGTTATTTTAAAAGTAAAATAAAATCAGAGTGGAGGTATGGAAGAAGAATGTCCCATACTCCTGATCTCATACCTTAATCTCACCTTGCCTTTGCTATTCTTTCACTAATCTCCCTTGAGAAGTATGCTACTTTTTCTTTTTTTTGGTGGGGGGGGGGGAGGCTGGGACAAAGTCTCACTCTGTCACCCTGGGTAGAATGCCGTGGCATTAAAGCTCACAGCAACCTCAAATTCTTGGGCCCAAGCAATCCTCTTGGCTTAGCCTCCCAAGTAGCTGGGACTGCAGGTACCACTATGCCCAGCTAGTTTTTCTAGTTTTAGTAGAGACAGGGTCTTGCTCTTGCTCAGGCTAGTCTCAAACACAAGGAATCCACCCACCTTGGCCTCCCAGGGTGCTGGGATTACAGGTGTGAGCCACTGCGCCTGGCCTAGGCCTATACT